ATAAGGAAACTATGTACGCATTTATCCGCCGCGTGATTCGCATCTCCGGCGCACCAATGTTCCGTCGCCAACCCCCCCCCCCCGGGGGGCGAGCCTATCGCGAGGGTTTGAGATGCCATGTCGAATCCCCATAGAAACACAGGCACCATTAACTCAATCCATATTACACTTGCATAGAAACACAAAACAATGAGTGAGAGTCAGCTGGCGCTTCTAATCATTCCACAGGCCTAACAACCTTTTCCATGTCTACCTATTGAAAAGCCATCACGTGGCATACAACAGAAAAATGCCAGTTAATCAGTAGACCCCATTTTTTCTCGTGTTTATGTTTTCCCCAAGTAAACAAGAATTATTGATTGTTCCAGTGTGACTTAGAGAACAACATAACCGATGAGGAATTGAACGATATGAAAACAACATATAGCTTTACCGATGTGATGCGAGCATCGGCTAAAGAGGATTTTGGCATCCAAGAAGCTTTCACAGCAGTAGCCAAACGGGTAAGTGACATGTTCTTATTTACTTTTATATTTCTTTTTGATGTAATTAGACAAGTCAACATCCTGAAGACCACTTACACTTAAAAATGCGTAGTGACAATTTGTCGCGCGCAGGGCGAATCGCACGAATTTGTCCCCCGTTACTCCCGAACGGAAAAGTAATTGGTGTATGTCATGCGTAGGGAAAGGGTCTATCAATTTAATCATGGCACTCAGAACATCCAGCAGAGCAACTCAAGCCATGATTCCAGATATTGGCATGCGAAAGGAGTGGTCAGTACGAAATAACGTCTAGCAAACGACCTGGAAACATTCTCCTCTATGACAATGACAAACAAGAAACAAAAAAACGCATAAGTTGTAATTGCATCCCATCGTTCCATAATCCTTTCTAATCTATACAGGTATAATAATAAATATACTGATGAATTATTACTACCTTTATTATTATGGGTGTTTTTACTAGCGCATCAATTATTTTTGATGCATGCGGTATTACAAACAATACGATTGCCGAGATCGTACAAGGGTATGGGTACTTACGTGCGTTCGAGGATGCGCGCGGCAAATTGCGCGGCGAAGTGCGTGGTGATTCGAACGACTCTGGCGGCTAGCATTGGGGCCCAAACTCGAAGTAGAGTGGTTTAGTAGGGTCAGCTGATACTACCGATCTACTCTACTTCAAATTTGGGTCCCAATGATAGGCGCCAGAGTCGTTCGAATCCCCACGCACTTCGCCGCGCGCATCCTCGGACGCACGTAAGTTCCGTCCCCCATCGTACAAGGTTTCGGGAACGTCCCAAGACGGTTTGACGGTCTCACCGACATCTCCATTACTAGTTAATCAAAAATCTCCTATCGATGTAGATTTATCAATATAGGCATGAATCGTCACTTACACGGCAGCGTTGTGGTTCACTATTTGGGCAGTGCTCAGCTGACATGTACCTTCACTACAGTACAGCCTCCTCATCAAACAAGATATTGGATCGGTTCTGTTTAAAACAAAACCATTAGCATACCAGAAAAACGGACCCCGCAACCAAGGGGGTAAATTCCGATGAACAACATATAGAAATTGATCTGTTTCTCTTGAAAACGTGGTCGTACTGCGCGCATAAAGGGCAAATACATCACATACTCAGTATAGCATGCTCATCATTTGGCTCTGCTTCTCCACCCTCCAGTAGGACATGCCAAATTTGATGACTGCTTACTAATTTGTCCGATGAAAATGTCAGAACAGCCTTCATAAACCAAGAAATCAAGCTTTCAGGCACGTTGGATTCTAATTCGGTAGGAGAAACATGCTAGATATGAACCACCTCTTTGATGACTCTAGCCGCCGCTGCATTCGCGATTATGATAGCTGCATCATTCTTACCCGGCCTGATACTTTTCAATAAGATCAGGGAACAACATGAACCCTTATCGATGGATGTAACCACAAAGTTGTTAGATGTATTCATTCAATCACAGAATAATCAATAACTACTAAGCACCTTCCTAAAAAAGATCATCATTCACATAAACACTATATCAGTACACAGAAGGGAATTTGAGAAAGGCTGTTGTAATTAATAATAGATGATTATAGGAAGGCATTTAATACCCTCCGTGTTAATACTTTTAGGACATTTGATAATACAGTCATAAAATTCACAGGCTAATTCTTTCAACACATGCAAAAGACATTTGAACAGGTACTCGTTTCCTGGCACAAATAAATTACCTTCAAAATCCAGAATTCACAAGGCACTCTAGCACTGCTAAAAACGAGATATAAGAACTCACTGTGACAAAGGCTAGCAAAAGATGCTCAAAAGCTGTGTACAAGCCCGCCGCATATAACTCATTGATGTTCGATCGCACTAAGTCTCTTGATTCGATGAGCAGGGTTTCTTCATATAATCAACAAAGTCCAACTAGTTCGAGCTAGGTTATGATCAGAAGCTATGCGGCTATATCCTCCACATTCGTCTCACAGTGCTGACTCTCGGCAGTGAAGAAGCTGTAGTAGTAGTAGTAGCTCCTCGTGTTTGGAATTGCAGTCGTGAGGATGCGCGAATGGAAATTGGTGCCCTTGGGCTTCTACCAGTAGAAACTGGCTCAACTCTGGATTCACGAGCAGAACATAATGGGCATAAGCTAGTTGCGTGATATCTTGTGGAAGTGTGAATCCGTGAAGAAGCAACTTGTGCAGTTGAGCTAAGTCGAGAAGGAACTTGTGGCCTCAAAGATTCTTGAGAAGTTTCCGGTCTCGCTTCTCGAGGACTTTGTAGTTGTGGAGGCCCACGACCGTGAATTCGTGCCCTTGGGCTTCTTCCACTAGCAGCTTGCTCAACCCTGGATCCAAGAGCAGAAATTTGGATGCGTGAAGTGCTAGCAGAGGAAATTGTGGACCTTTGGTTAATTGAAGAAGCAACTTGTGAAGTCGAGCTAAGTTGGAGGGGAACTTGGGGCCTAGTAGATTCCTGAGAAGAAGTTTGCAACCTTGTAGTTCCTCGAGGACTTTCCAGCCGTGAAGGCCCACGACTGTCAATTCGTGCCCTTGGGCTGCTTCCAGTGACAGCTTGTGGCCTCGTTGATTCCTGAGAAGTTTGCAACCTTGTAGTTCCTCGAGGACTTTCCAGCCGCGAAGGCCCACGACCGTCAATTCGTGCCCTTGGGCTCCTTCCAGTGACAGTTGACTCAACTCTAGATTCACGAGCAAGAGTTTGCGGGAGCGAGGTACTAGTAGAGGATCTTGCTGACCTGTGGGCCGTTGAGGAAGCAGCTTGTGAAGTTGATCTAAGTGGAAGGGAAACTTGTGGCCTCGTAGATACCCGAGAAGAATGTTCCTGTCTTGTGGTTCCTCGAGTAGGACTTGACTGCTGGAGCTGCTGTACCCGTCGAGAAAGATCTTGCAGCCGTGCCATTGCTTGAGAAAACATCAATTCACTTGTGTTCAGCTGTGCCATTGCTTGAGAATACATCGATTCACTGGAGCCACTTGAAGATTCACTAGTACGTGCATGCGGACGTAGGATCAATCGAGTGGAAACCTGTGGTAAGGTTCCTAGGGAAAGATCTACGGTTGCTCCCAGTGATCCTATGGGTGGTAGAGAAGGCTCTCGGGTTGCTCGAGTATGAACCTGACGACCAATGGGCCCTTGAGAAGGACTTCGAATTCTCGAACTTTCTTGTCTTGAAACTTGTGAAACTGTGCGTCTTTGAGGAGTTCGTGGCCTTGCTGGTTCTTGAGAAAGACTTCGTAGCTGAAGAGGTTCACGTGTAGGAACTTGTGGAAATGTACTTGATCGAGGTGGAGCTACTCTGGGGAAGAATCTGTTCTTATTCCTCAGCTCAATTACTGCTTTCGCGAACATATCGTCTTCCCGCTGCAGTTCTTCGGCAGTTCGTTTTTTATCTAAAAGGAATGAAAACATTAATAGCTAAATGTAACTCGAATTTTTAGTGAAATATCTGTAGAGCATTTACAACAAAATCTTAATGCATGTATCGATCTAAATATAAAATGAAAAGTTGCACTAGAAAAAGGATCATCAAGAAAACGCTAACCTGGATCTTTTTCAAGTAGAACATCTACAATCGAATTAACCGTGTAGGCCATTCCAATATCCTTAATTCGCTCCCGACACTGCAATGGGAATGATAATGATTGAAGATCATCGAAATAGCGGTTAAAGCAGTTTTTGGATATTATATCTACTCTTACTTAAAGTAAATGTATGTTACTAATGTAATGTAGTTACTTGTATTTACACTGTTAAGGAGTGCCACTGTCCCATGTTTACATGGGTAAGTAATGTACAGAAAGAAAACGTACCTGCGGGCACTCTGCGTCTGCCTTTGTGGCCATAAACCTCATGATACATGATAAACAGAAATTGTGGCCACATGGAATCACACTGAAATACCACGTATGGTGGCTGTCAATAAAAAACACCTTATGCCATCAAATCAATATCATTTACAAATCGGTCCCGCAAGCAACCTTTAATAAATAATTGGCTACTGACTAACAGTAGCAAGTTATTTCAATATTTCAACCAGTTTAAAAAATAATGGCCTTATACTTACTTTGCCGCCTTATAAAAGATTTCACAGCAAATGCTGCACGACAGGCGCTCCCCAAGACTACTTGACATCCAAATATCTAGGGGATTCGATTCCTGAAACTGATCGAATCAAAGGAACTTACCATTTTCAGAGGTTCACCTAACTCAAAAGAATTGCAGTGAGAAGACAAGAGCTGAAACGAACCTGCTCGGACTCTTGCTCTGAAGAAAAACGTTGTCTGGGACTACCTACATCTACCTGAAAATTAATGTTGCTTAGAAAGCGTAACTTACCAACTAAGGCTGCGTCACCTGAACACTAGCACTATGGAAGCGCTTCCTTCGTTCGTTAGTTGTGTATCCGATAGGCGAACGTCCTGTTAGGATGGGGGTTGAAGGGACTTTCAATTGAAAATCCCTGACCATTAGACAGTCAAAGAAGTCGTCAATTATCTAAAATGCAGAAATTATGTGTATGTGGAAGAAAATCAGTCTATACAGACTACGAAAGTACAGACTGCTAAAGCACTGCTTCCTAACAAAAATAAATACTCAAGTTTAGTTTAATTACCCGGCAGCTTAGCTTGGGTTTGATTACCCGAGTTTGAGGTAGTGGTTCGTAAGTACAGAAGAAGACATCATGGCTACAATATGGCGAAACTTTGTGCCGAGATGACTCAAGAAGAGTTGGGGGCAAGGGAGCAGGAAGAGTTCAATGTTGGGCCTCTGTCCATTCCCAACAATTCAGTGAAAAATAAGCTCAGGCCCTTATCAACTGTAGAAGCAATAAGGAACTTCTCGGAAGAGTTAAGCCTTTTGACAGACATTGCAACATGGTCGGAAATGTGGACAGAACAACCAAAAACCGGCAAAGGAAAGAAGGAAAAAGCGCTGTCAAAAGATTGCTTCACTTCGAACATATTCCTACGCGGAGATTTGGTGATTCTCCTTCTCAAAAAACCGCTCGCTCCCCCTGAGTGGTTCTTCTTTGATAGTTGTTTGATCTTCATCGCTGGTTATCTTGACGGTTCTTGGGGATGCCGTTCGTGCTCCCATTCTCGTTTGATGCTTACGGTTCCTTGATTGTTAGGTTTGACTATGTGTATCGAATGGATTTGAAAGAGGTCCCATGTTATCATGAGTTACGGAGAGCTTTTTGAGAGCCATGATATCGGAATATGCAACAGTTGGTTTTGTGCAAATGATCGGCTGTTACACAATTGTTCACGAATAATTATCTTTGGTATTGGTATAAACCATTCCACAAAAAAAAACAAAAAAAAAACAAAACACCAGTCAGGCGACTGGTCCGCGAACGCCGACACCGTAAAAGAAAATGAGCCAGAGCGCTTGGCACATGGGCACATGCGCCAAACGCGCGGGAAGAGCCTACAGCGGTGATCGTTCGACGACCGTTTTGGCCCAACTTGATCTTTAGCCATAATCTGACAGATCGTTCCATTACCTTATGAGTGCCAGCAAGGGTCGTGGTGCTCATCATGCTGTTGTAAAATTCTTCTGTGCTCTTCAATATGACTGGCTAATGCTCGCTGTTGTAACCTAAACATTGCATAACCATTTTAGTTGAGGGTGGTCAGCTTTCAAAAACTCAATGTCGCGATGTATGTCGAGATTGGGGATCAACACGGAAATCGGATGTTCACTGAAAAGTAAGGGCGAAAGTCATCATTTTTTCCCCTTCTGCTCAGTGATCATCGCTTAAACTTGTACTCAGTAATGATCCAGGTTCTTTACTAGTTTTTCACTCTACCTATTCTGATCCTAAAGATTTTCTTAAGTTTGTTTATGTCGGAGAGTCGTGTAAGCCGCAACATGAGCAAAATATGTAATGGTCGTTATTTCTTTTCGCGCTTTAAACTTACCTTGATGACTTGTCACGTGAAGCAACAGGTGCCCTTCGCCAATTTTATGATTTCACGATTCTAATATTTTGGTAATTGCAGCCGGGTGGTGCAGTTGTCGTGAACCCACTCTCTTGTTCACTAAACATGACGACATCAGTTACGTAAAATAAGACATACACTTGTTGTCATAAAATTTTACTCTATAGCGATACTAACAGGCACGTTACAAGTGAAAACTATAAAAATTTCTTCAGGAGGGAGAATCGTTTGATTTAGCGTTTAGAATCCTCTGAACACTTTTAGCTTCAACATATACACATTCATAAAAACACGCGAATCGATTCAAAGTTCTATTCTGAACATAGTGTTGGAAATTGTTATTCAGGTGCAATAACTTCCTGATTCAAATTGAACAACAAAGGAACATAAAATACCAGCCCTTGTAGCTATCTGAAGGGTAAAACTAAATCATGTGTTGTTCTAGAGAACCAAATTATCGTCACCTGTTGCTTAGGACCGGAAGGGCGTTTCCAAGAGTGTTTCCTCCCCTTACAGCCAATATCTCTTGCACGCAAATTTTCAGCTTTGGATTGACTATGAATTGCTTTTCATTTCTGCTTACACCTTTAAGTTGCACCCCAACCTCAACTTTACTAATCGCGCATCGCTGGACCGTAAGATAGCAAATAAAGTATGAAGCAGCACGGAAACGGAAATTTAACACTGTTCAAGTTCAAAATTTTGCAAAATTTCTGTTCGAAACAAATCAAAATTCTATTCAATATGGATTCATGACACTCTTTTACAAGAAACGAAAACCACGTGGAATCATTCTCAAAGATGTAGGTAATACCGTTCTGATAGTATGGCTTTTAGCTTCAGAAACCTGTGATCCGACGCTCAGTCGCCATGAATGGGTGCTTTTAGAGTTCAACAAAGTGGTTGTTTCAATTACCAGCTACGCGTTGACAATACTGGACACCGATCAATACCGCTCATAGTACCGCCCTGAACGCAATCTCTCCTACGTTGTCAACACGTGGCCAGAATTGTGGTCGGTCGGTCGTCGGTTGAAAAAATGCTTGTCGTTTAACTCTGAAAGCATCCAATGAGTTTCAAGCGAACGGGTTCAAGACGCGTTTGATCTTGTCATCTCCCGGAACAAACGCAATCCTGACATGACTGACATGAACTGACTTGCCTTGACAGGATGACGTGCGTCTCAGTAGGAACATGCTCGGCGTAAACCATAGCCGGTCGGAGAAGCTTGGCACATCTCCCATTAGTTTGACGATTTCATTTGGATATTAATCGATTCAATGGTAATTAAGATACTGACCTCAATTCGATTGTATTGGAATTCCAGTCCAACCCAATGTAGACGAGTTACGTCAAAAAACTGAAGTACAGGAG